TAAATCATGAGGTCCTTTTTTGTAAGTGCTGTAAGTTTTACCACCCTCCGACATCTCTTGGTCGACCTCTTACCATACTGCTGAATCGAGATTTAATGCTAGACTTATCATTTCAGAATTTGAAGAACATTACTAAAGACGACTTTGGTCAATTTATTTTCAAAACAATTTTAGCTTTGAAAATCAGTTGACTTTAATAAATAAGTTGACTTTAGCACTTACAATACGATTTAAATGCAAAGGAGCTCACAGTTTGCCGAGAAAATGCAAAGTTTCTTAAATCGTGAGGTCCTTTTTTGTAAGTGCTGTAAGTTTTACCACCTTCTGACATCTCTTGGTCGACCTCTTACCATACTGCTAGATCTAGATTTAATACTAGACTTATCATTTTAGAATTTGAAGAACATTACTAAAGACGGTTTTGGTCAACTTATTTTCAAAGCTTTTGTCAATGGAGTCCAAATACGATTAGGGAAATCTTGGTTGGAGGTTCTCAAGGAAACTTTTAATATCAGAATTACATTCGGTTTCACAAAATTAATTCGTTTTAAAAACTCAAAAACGCCCCGTCTGCAATCGCTTTTTTTCCGGTGTTAAATCTTTTCAGAGTCTTTTTGATTAATTCAGGCATGAAACAGCTATTATAAACCGACGATTTAAGAAATCTCATATGCAAATTTTAAATCGATGGTTTTTTCTTAAAGTCGTGATTAGTTTTGGCTTGATATCGCATATCTTAGATTGCTTTTTCTTCTTTTTATGTTATTGAAAAAACATAATGAAGGTTTTTTCTTTTAATGAGAAAACCCATGAAGCGTCACTGTGAGCAACTCAATTCCTGAAAAACTGGTTTATTTGCAAATTTTTCGACTATCGTTTTAATAAATTGTTTGCAAAATTGATTCTATTCTCTGTGAAACAGCTAAATGAACTCTCATCGGGAGAACGCAATAAAACTTTTCCGCCTGTTTCTGGGAGCCTCTTGCCCTGTAATTCTACTTTTTGGTTTTTATTTTCAATTTTTAATCATAAATTGATTAATCAGAGTATTTTAAGCAAAAAAAAGATCAACAAAAAAATTAGCACTATACCTACAATTGACAGCAAATTTTCTGACAAGTATTTTTTTTTGAAAATTGAGTTGGCAATTGATAATTTCTTTGATTGACGTTGTCCAAAAACTCATGATTGAAGAATTGTATTTAATTTTCAGTGCAGCCCTGAAAGCATGTTCTAGAATCTGAGCAGTATTTTCAAACAAAACTGGAAATCTTTTTAATTTTAGTAATTGAATTTTTTTATTTTTCATTGTATGCACAGATAACTACCAAGCTGGAATGATTTAATGTAGAAGACTAAAAATATAAAACCCAAGGGGGGGGGTGGCTGATTTTTAAAACTCTTGAAAATTTTGTCGCCCTTTTTTTAAGCACTATAAAGACCGCAGGCAAAATTTTGAAAAGACAGGCCCATAAAGGCGTTTTTAGGCAATTTTCAGAAGGTTTTGACCAGAAAAGTTGCAGTTTTTTTGGCGCCCGCTCCCCCTTTAAAATTAGTATATAATGGCGCCAAAGGCGCCTTTTGAAAAATTTTAAGGTCAGTCAGCCAAAAAAGGGTATCTCAAAATAGTAAGTACAAAGGAGGGACCCTTTGGATCGGCAGGGGTCGAATCCCTGAGGAAAAAAAGCGTCCCCCCCTAAATCCGCTACTGTTCAAAGGTTTGGTTTTGAGGCTTTGAAGTAATACGGATAACCACTTGAGTGAACGTTTTTGTGTTTTTCCTACCCAAAAATTTTAGATAAATCAATTTAGACTGAACTCATGGTTTTTTCGAAAAGTCTGTGTTTTGCCCCTAAATTGATTGACGGGAATGGTTACACGGTTGATCTGAATTTTTTTTGGCATCAGGAGATACAAAACTTTTGGTGAGAACATTCTCTGCCCTTGGTTTCCCATGAACCCTCAGTTTTCATCAATCATTGCCTTAGCATTGTGTCAAGTAGACAACTTTTATCCAAAAAATGTTATCTAGACCCGTTTTTTCCATAGAAGCAACTACTTATGAGCAACCCAGGCAAAGTCGTATCTAGAAATTTTTTAGGGTGCAGATCATTAAAAAACAATTTGAAAAGTTTGGCGACTATTTTTCAGATCGACCAAATTTAATTTCCAAGTTTTCCCAAAACACTAAAAAACTCTATTTTGACTTTCGTGACGCTACAGGTCAATCTAACAAAGGTCGATTTTTTTTTCAAAAATCCTAGATCAGCCCGATTCTGCCTTTTTTAACAATTTTTCAAACCATTTCTAGCATTTTCTAGTCTTATTTCAACTAGTTCCAGTCATTTTTTATTACGAATTGATTTTCAACTTATCTTCACATACACCCATTCAGATAAGCCAGCAACTATTAAGAAACAACGAGCCTCTTTTTCAATCAATTCTACAAAACACTAAGCTTATCGGTTGGTCGTAATAAACTAAACATTTCTATATCACTAGCATATCTTTCTCATTTACTGATCCGACTTTCGAAGATGGTGACAAAACTTTTGTGCTCGATGAAAGCTATTTTACCTGCAATAAGTTTTTGAAAAGATATGAATTTTGAAAAAGGTCAATTCGACTAATTTAAGACAAATAAAGCGCGAGATATTTTGTGCCTTTAGTACGCTCAAAGTTTCTTCCAAATTGTATGGAGGCAAGCTATTTGATGTTATTGATACGTTATTTAAACGCTAGCGTCATCACTTTGTATTTCACATCAAGTGGGGGGATGTTTTTCCTCGACAAAATTGATATTTCGAGCTTTAAAGTCATTAGTTTTAGCAATTTTTTATGCGCCGTGTTTTCAGAAAACAGGCCAAAAAAAACGCTTTGCTGTGAACCATATGGATGGTCTGGGCTTGAAAAAAAAAACATTCACCACCCCCCCCCCCCCCCCCCAATCCGCTACTGCTAGCAGTCTTTTTAGGGGTGGTGTGGGGTTTGGAGTGGTCTGGGCTTGAGAAAAAGAAACATACCCCCCCTTAAATCCGTTAATGCGAGCAGTCTTGTTTTATTTCAATCGCGATTTGGTTTTTTCTTTGCTCTTTTATAGTGAAAAGTCACAATCTCAGCAACTAGCATTAACTTGTGAATGCGAGGCTGGAAAGCTTCTCCTTGGATCGCCGGTTGAGTTTTATCTCTTAAAGAGGAGAAGTTTAGACGACGGGTTTAATTGGGGTGACAGGTAGCTGTGAAATCTCCATTCTGCTCTTCGGAGGGACCAATTAAGGCCCGATGATGTTCGTAATAATAGGTTTGGGGCAAAGGGCAATCAAGGAAGAATAGGGCCTGATTAGAGCCCAATTGAGATGCTAATTCAATCAGTGATTTGATTGGCTAACACTCTCCAATCCCGCAATCCTTCTGTGTGGCTGTGCCTTGCCCGGCAATCCCCGCTCCCTCCAGCCTCATATTCCTATTGCCCAAATACGGAGTAATAATACTGGATACATCTACTAGACTACAATACCCACTCCCCGTTTGCCTAGTGAAATAGAACAATCATTGTCGAGTATTTCCCTCAGCGAATAAGCAACCCTCTCTCTTTCTCAGCCTGTTCCAAACTTTTTCTCCAAACTGACTGAATTAAATTAAAAACTTCTGCAAAATCTCAGTTGAGCAGCTTCGTTTGAATTTCAAAAAGTTATAATCATAAGTGGCGTATAAATGATGATCGACGAACTGGGTTTTGCGACTTCTCTCTACACCGCATCGGGGCTTCAAGGCGGGGGAGCTTCTGCCCTTAATTTCCCCCCTCTCAACTGCGCCACGAATTCGGTGGCTGGCGGTGGTAACGAAATTAGCAGTAAGTATAATTATATTAATGTTTTCTCGAAAAACTGCTTAATTTTTATTTAAGCGTACACTAATTTCATAACCGGGCCTTCGCGTTTGAGAATGATACACGTAGACGTACAGCGTAATTCAATTACCCTTGTGGTTCTAATTTTATTTGGGTTTGAACCGGCACCGCTGCCGACCTGTACATGGAAACCCTGAACGTCAGTCTCATCTTATAATAAACTAATTTAGCGGTACCCGAATAATCCAATATTCCGGAACTGTGCTCTAATAGTCCAAATAAATCTAATTTCTCGCTCAATTGTTATTCTGCAACTTACCATCAAAACCATTGCCTGCACTGCAACCTTAAAATCTAATCAGATCATTGCGAACACAATCGAAACGATACAGCTGAACACAAGAACTCTGTTTCTAATTTTTTGAACTTGCTTTACTTGGTGAGAAATCGATGACTTGAACTTCGAAATTCGTGAAAACTTTCACAGTAAGGTAAGTTAGATATTCTTTTTCAAAAATCTGTTTGAAGAAACTTGTATTTTATTCCTATTTAGCACAAAAGCCAAATCAGCAAAAAACAGGACCCAATCATCGGGTGATTTGACCCAATCATCGGACCCAATCATTTCTCTTTCCCATTATAGCCCCAATCATTCGCCCCTTAGTTTTGTAACATGATAATTTAGTATAATGGGGATATACTCTGCTTGAAGTTACATAATAAGAAAGAATCAAAACTTGTTCTGTCATGAGAAGTTTTTTTTGTGAAAACTTGTTTAAAAAATATATTGGTTACTTTGGTTTCAGAGGTTCATACGAAAAATGTAGCCTTTTCAAAAATCAAAATCATAGAAGGGACATTATTGCAGACAATTTAACTCGTTTTCATTTTCTTTTTTTAATCTTTGTTGTGGTCAATGAAACTTTTCTTCAATTGAACACTTGGTTCTTTTGATAAAACCAAACGAGAGTTAGGCTTGTCTGTATTCAAAGCTAAAATAAAATATATGAACTTTAACATTAGAAGCAAAACACACTAAACACTAATTATAAACGCAATTATTGTCAGAAACAAGATTCAGCACAACACAAGTACAAAACGGTGATTCTTCAATGTTCAGTACAAAATGATTATTGGGGGGTTTTTGGACACTTTATAGGCAAGGTATGAGTTAACCAGGCAAGATAAGTTGCCTCAATAAAATTAATTATACATGGTTTACTATATCATAGCACTTGTTGTCGATTGTTACGTATCTCAGTGGTAAGTTTTCGTTGTCATTATTGTCGTGCGGTACTCCGTTGTCCTGCGGACCATCATCGGGCTCAATTGAGTCTGCTTCTCTCTCATTGGTCAACGAATTGTAACCCGATTTCTCGCCACTTCGTACAATTTTACTCGCTAGTTCGGGTTTTGCTGTATAAATATCAAACCTCTGAGCATCTTTTTTGGCAAAAATATGAGCAAAGTAAGCCAAGCCAATAAGAATCAGGTCAACGATACAGATTTGAATAGCAAGCGATGCTATGAATTGTACATCCTCTCGAGAAACGGACGACCTGTCAATCAAAGCAAGTCGGTCTAGTAGAACTCCTCCGAACAGCAAAGTGAACATCGATATCGGAAGGTACGGTTTGAAAGTCGCCAGGCAATCATAGAAGCAAAATAACATGCTGAGCACCACAAAATTGAGTAAAACAGTTATCGATGCTATGTTCAGACAAGATTCGTTAGTGCTTTTGTCGAACGCCACCGGAAACACGATAAAGTTGCTAGCCACGCCCAAAGCACATCCGAGCGAATGAAGCAAGAGGTTAATAAAGTGCAGACAAGTCAAGGGGTATCCTAAGAAAGTGTAAAAGTCTCGGAAACAGTTAAAGGTAAATTGAGTTCGACTTGTAAATTGATAGACCATGCAGTAGATGGCAGTTATGCAGAAGGGTAAAAAAGCGACCAATTTTTGAATGATGAAGTCCCGTCGGACTCTTGGATCCATGAGTTCATGATTGGGGCGAATAAACTCGCTGATTATTAAGTAAATATTAAGCGCTGTTATAAGCACAAGTGTAATCGGTAACAAACACCAATGTAACAGAAACATGCCAGTAGATTTAGACATCATAATTTTCAAATCTACTTTCAACCAACTTTAATTTTCTTTTGAAAAGCAAAAACAGACGACAGCAAACTAAAATCCAGCAATAATCAACTACAACCAGTTTCAATATATAGTTTTTAATAATAAGTATCTAATTATTGTTACTAATATTGCACCAAAATGACTAAAATATTTGCTGTTTTTAAGCTTAAACAATAAATTCCTGTTGTTACGTGCAACACAGCAAATTGCTCATTGATTCAATGCATAACGTGCGTTTTTAAGTTATTTCACGTTGAAACAATTTTTTTCACTTATATTTATATAAAATGTGGTTACATCTGTACTTTTAAAATTGAGTCATTCCTTGTTTTTTTTCCAATGAGTCTAATTTTGAACTGATATTGAAACTCATTTTTGTATGAGATGGAACTATCCCAGCTTAAAGTTAGTTTAAGAGTCGATGAGCCTCGAAAGTGCGAATCTTCTGTGAGTTGAATTTTACCAGTAGAATCTTTAAGCCTCAAACACGCAAATTTTTGAGTTTTTGAAATTGTACCAGTAGCATTGCTTGGGCTCTTTTTCTTTTTTCCGTCACCTCACATAAGCATCAATTTTATGGTGAAACGAGGGTTTTTACAAGGTAAAGTATAAGGACCAAATATGTTTGTCATGGCCTAATTAGTCTGCATGACTATTTTGTAACAATTGGACAAAAAGAACATTTAGTTACTCGTTAAATTTTCGCTCGTGGGAGAAGGAAAAAGAGTCATCGGTTGCTCCAGTTATTGCAACCTAAAACTTAAAAATATAAGTTTCAAAGAAATAAAAAAGATTATAATAAAAATTACAAATGACAAAATAATTACACTTAAATTAAAAGTAATGACTTTTATACTGTGAAAACATAGCTATTCAAGATAATGTAAATAGCTCAGCAGTTCTTTAACCAAAAAGCTTGATTATATAATTATATTATTTACAATAACCAAATCTTGGCTTTTTAAAATATAAATGGGCTCTTTTCCAGTTTCCCAACCCCTCGTAAAAATAACACCAAGTTGTTTCAAAAATAAATGTTCATACTGCAATTTGCATGTAAGACATGCTGCGAACAATTGTTCACCTGTTCACACTGAGACGTTTTGCTAGAACATCAAATGTCATTTTAAATAGATTTTCATACGTTGAATGTTAAAGAAGTAAAAGAAACTGGAAAAGAGACATAAATTGCAATAATTTTTTTCATTTGCTTTAATATAATTTTGAAAATAAATTTTAGGTCCTCTAGAAGATTTGGTGAACCAAAGCTACAACAGCAAGCACAATTCACCCCACAAGGTCAAAAGCGAGTGCAATGGTAGCTCGGACGGGTCAACAGGCGCAGGCGGCGGAATGGGGTCGGGTGGGGGAGGGGGACCCACACCCGCCCGTAGGAGACACCGGACCACTTTCACCCAAGACCAGTTGAATGAGCTAGAAGCGGCCTTCTCAAAGAGTCACTACCCGGATATATACGTGCGAGAGGAACTCGCCCGAATCACAAAGTTGAACGAAGCTAGAATTCAGGTGAGCCCGGTTATTTTATACCACATCTTGTAATTTTTTGCTTTATTTCGCTTTCATCTTATCATATTGATAACGGTCTGTATAACTTCTTTTAGAATCATTGATTATTGGTATCGAGTTGGTTCATGGCTATGAAATCGAGCTAAGAGCATATTTTTCTAAGAATATACATATTTTCATAAAAATATGAAAAATATTTCGATACCACAATCATTTTTTTTTCAAAAATAATCCGCGATATCATTTTTCAAGTTCAAGGTACCACTAATATTTATTGGTTATCTCTTATTTAGATCAACTAATCAATAAAAATTCAGTTTTGAAAGCTGCCGACATATTTCCAAACAAAGACTTATGAAAGCTGCAAAAGAGTTGCAATTGTTCCGGCCCAAAACTGACAAGAATTCCAGGCGCATTCCAGTGTAAAATGATGGGTTCCTTTATCAACTCAGTAATTTTTGCAGCTTTCAAAACTTTTGTTTTCAACTTTTTGGCCCTATCGCAATTTCTTTTATTTTGATCTGAGCAGTTCATTATATCTGCAAGATAGTATTGATTGACTTTAAATGCCGCTGAAGTCTCAAGAGGCAACTATTTTTGATTCTATTTTTGAAGAGAGCTTATCACCGTCAAAATACCAGGCCCGTAACAAAGTCAACATCGTTTTCAAAAAACGCTGGATAATTTTTTAAAATGCATTTCCAATTTTTCCGGATAAACTTTTATTGTTAATTCAATTGAATTGATAAAAGATTTGGTATTCGATAACAATAATTTTTTGCGTCGATTTTAATTCGATAATCAAAATAGAAAAGTTTTGAGGTTGTTATCGTTCCAATTTTCCAGTTAATTTTGCAATTTTCAATTTCATCTTTAAATCTCGGAGACAAACTTGACATTGACTGCGCTCAGTTGGAAACGACAAACTGATAAACAATTTCTCTTGGAGGGGGTTCTTTTTCTTTAGGGTAATATTCCCCTTCTTTTACCCCTTTGTACATCTGTGGATACATTAGTTCACGCGGGGTGTATTGTCGGGCTATTTAAAAAAAGGAATGGCTAGGGTGATGGATAGGGGAGGGGGTTAGAGAAAGGGGTAGGTAGGGGCGATGTTGGAGGGGGGTGCATTGGTGCGTGGAGATTCCGTGGGTAGTTCATTCAGTCCCATTTCACAGGGGGCGCATTGTTTGAATGGGTGTAATTGCCAGTCCCTAATTACACCTGACAGCCACTGACTCTGCAATGCATTACTGGCTATTAGCAATCACAGCATACTCGAAATATTTACAAGCAAAGCAAACAAAAAGGATTTTAACTCCAGCGGAGGAAAGATTTCTGGCCCTGCTTTTAAAATTCACCGGAAAAGAAGTAACATTATTAATTTTGCATGTAAAACTACAAAGTTTTGACTTATAAAATATAGGTATAAAACTGATTTTTTGCTGGACTTGATGGGAACTGTTTTTGAGTTTTTGGTTCATTTAACAGACCTCAAAGAAACACAGGCATTTGCACAGTTTCGCCGCATGTCTTCATTAAAAAATCAGAAGCGAATTGCGAAATTTGGAAGAAAAAAATCGGAATTTTTCCTCGTTTCGTTGAACAATTTGAACTCTTCTACTTTTTTTCTCAGCCACACACTGAGTAAATAGGAAGTTGTTTTTATATAAAAGAAGTGTGCTAACTGATACGCTTTCGTTGTTTTCTAGTTTGTTGCAGCAATTTTTTTTTCATGATTTGGAAAAAAATATACAAAATTTTAAACCGAAGAAGACTCATGAATTTATTCGGAATTTTTTCCATCATTCAAAAAGTTGAAATTTTTGATTAGAAATAAAGTTTTTCCAAGTAGACACATTGCGGAAATGTAATTTGTAGAAAGTGCGCAATAGACACAACAGCTTCCTCTGTGAGTTGCAGTGAGTGTAAATCTAATTAGGGATTAGCCAAATTAGATTGTCAACACACTCGGGGCTTCCGTCTTCCTTCATCCGCCTATAGTGGATAAACTAAAATATTTAGTAAAGCTATAATTTTTCTATAGAAATTATTAAAAACATGATTTTATTTCAACAATCATAACCGAGTTTTGCATTTTATACATTCTTTATTTTAAAAGGCTATTTTATCTTTTTCAAACGGACATTTTTATTTTATCTGTATCACAATAATACTGCTCATTCAGAGGTCCTTTTCGACACGCAACCATAAATTTTTTGATAGTGTTCAAGTATTTTAATTCTCTGTCGATTTATTGAGGATCAACTTAGGAACTATCATTAATTGTTTTGACCTTAAATTATTTCAATTTGTTTTTGCTGCAGGTGTGGTTCCAGAACAGACGTGCCAAGTATAGGAAGCAGGAGAAGCAGCTCACCAAGGCATTCGTCAGTCCCCCCTCCGCCTCAGTGCTCGCTCCCCCCGGCGGGGTCGCATGCAACCAGATGATGCGAAACATATACCACCAGGCCACCAATGGAGCCAGACCCACAGGTAGATTGAATCATCTCATTTGTTGAAGGAAATATAATGTTTAGTCCAGCGTAGGTTTTCTTTATGGCAAGTCGTGTAAATTTGGATTTATTAACTGCTCATTGAGATTATCAATAAACATCACAACTGTATTTGATAAATAGTTGGAATGGATTTTTCTAAGATCAAAAACATTTTTACGCTAAACGACAGAGGTCTACGCTATCTTGCGAAATTATTCTTGAAAAAAAACCATTAATCGCAGAAGCCAAAAAAGTGGATTTTAAACTTCTTCATTCTTTTCAGGTTTTCCAGGAAATCCGATGTCAGGTTCATTCCATTATCAACCACCACCTATGCTCACACCTATCAGCTCTCAAAACGGACCCGGCTCCAACAACCTCTCAACCAGTCCTTGCAGCATGTCCAGCAGGTATCCAATGTCGGGTGCCGGAGGATCCCCAGGGTCTGCAATCTACAACCCTGGATCAATGGCGTCACCGTTTTCACTCCATGGGAACCCACTAATTGCTCCTGGAGGTGCGATGTTGAATCACATGGGTCATCATGGACATCCCCACGCTATGAGTCATGATTTGACAGGGGTTCCAACAACGCCCGATGACTGGTACTCAAAAAGTCTGTCGGCTTTCAAAATGAGTCACGTGGCTGCAGCTGCAGTTGGAAACACATCGCCCCAAAGTGTGCATGCCCATTTGCAGCATTCAGCTCTGATGCCATATTGAGTCTGCTCCCAAGGATCCAATGCTTCGGAACATAAGGATGAACCAAACTAATAAATCTATATTTTCATATAATGATCATCAAAAAAATGGTTTTGTGATACTAATTTGTTTATATATGGAACAACTGGTGCTATTTTCAAATTTTTATGAAGTTTTTATAAAATTTATATTTCAGTAGGTATTTTGAGTCGAAGACCAAGTTCAATTCAAGTTTTCTCGAACTACTTTTAAAACAGAAATCCGATATTTACTTACGTTGTATTAAGCATCTCTATTTTAAATTTCGACCGCTTTGAAATGTGTTTGAAACATGCTGTAAAACGTTCACTGAAGACTTAAAATAAAGAGAGACAACACAACTGCAAAAAGGAAAACGAACCTGAAATGGCCAGGAAGCAGCAAAAAGTTTCAGACCAGTTTCAGAAAAAATTCGACGCCGAAACAATCACAGCTGAGAGGATTTCAATATGATACCCCACTTTTAATTAATCATGCCTCGCTTGAAGCAATAAAAATGATGCAAAACAAGAAAAACCGGTTTTCTAAAAAAAGTATCAAGAGAAACGGCAAAAAATCCAAACTTTATTCATCCAAGCTTACGTTTGCACACATAATTAACAATACATTTTGCTCGCAAAAAAAACTCTGTAACATGTTCGCTTGGGTATACAATTCGTTTTGCACGTGAAAAAGTTAACAAATTTTGGGTGCAAAATCAAAATTACTTTATAAGATTTTTGTTGTCGCCATCACAAAAAAAACTCCTTCAAAATGCTCGATTAATCACTACAACGAGATAAGAAAAGCGAATACTAACATTTCTTAGCAAAAAATTTCTACTTTTTATATAAGGACGGTGCACCAAACTTTATGCCAAAACCATAAATAACTGTTTAAAAAATCGATCACATCATTTTACTAAAAATGTATGAAAATTGAATGAGTTGCGTTTGTTTATAAACAAAAGTTTATGGAATTATATCAGTAGCGTTTTTGGTCTATGGAGGTCAATATTAGCTGTTATAAGACTTGATTTCAAGTTTCATAATTTTACGAATTTTGCATCTCTTAATTGACTCTTTCTTTCAGTTTTCAATAATTTCGGCACATTAATTTGTTGCGGGTTCCGCAACTAACGATTATAGCTACACTTTTTTGAGTTGAGCGATAATAGCTACATGGTTTTTGAGTTGAAAGTAGCACACATTCTTAATTTATTCAGTTTAATAAGCATAAAAAATCAAGGTGTTTCTATCTTCAAGAAAACTTTGAGCCTTGAGCGTTAGGCAAAGTGCTTTAAAAAAAGAACCTAAAACTCATCCCGTGCGTAATGGTATTTACAAATTTTACATCAGACATTTATGTTCAAGCTTTGACTAAACAGACCGGGACATGACTTTAGAAGAATCACTATAATACTAAATTTTTTACAACAAATTGATTAAATTTTTTACAGACAGATGATAAAGGGTTACATAAACCTGATAGTCTTATGTTTGTTTCTAAACTGTCGGCAGTTTCAAGTAATTTCTCAGATAACTCTTAGGTTGTCATTGAGAATTCAAACATTGAGAATTCAAAAAAAAAAATTTTTTTTTAGTAGATACAACATCAACTTGATTAGCTAATTTTAAAAATTACAGAAGTTGTGTTCAAAACCTTAATGAAATGCTGCGCAGCCGCATCATTTTTTTAAATATGTGTATTTGATATCATTTAGGAAAATTGATCTTTAATTGTGTTTTCAAACACAAAGGTATTTCAAACAAATAAAATTATATTAGAGCTTAACCTAAAGGAGTTCGGTTTTCGTTAGCAACCGAAAACCAAAATTTTAGCTACTTTATGGCGAAAATCAAATGCTCTAAATATTTTACAAAGAAGACAAAAATACACAAAAGAATTTAAATAAAATTCCTTCAAATAAGACTGAGATTTTTTGATTTTGCTGCTCTGATTTTTTGAATTTTTTTTTGCGTTCCTCACTTTTTTGATTTTCTAAGTTTTATAACTCCATCTCTTCTTTTTTTATGGCAAAATTGTTGACTCAGACCTCAAAATATTGAGTTTGAGTTAATTTTTGTGTTCATAAAAAGCTCATATTATCTTAAAACAATTTTTGAAAAGAAATACACTTTTTTACGGTGCTCAAAACAATTTTTTTTACAACGCTTAGACAAAAAGCTAATAAGTTGAACAGCTGTTTTTGCTTTTCAGTTCAGCCAAAAAATTAAAATTTGAAGTTTTTCTGTGACACCTAATCGCTGCTAGTAATTACAAGTCTACTTTCCTGTTTTCATGTTTTCTTTGTTTTTGGGACGTTTTAGCTGCACTTATATACATATGAAAGCCATGTTTTATTAATTGAAAATTTAGTGTTAGAAACTGAATGAAAATCAATGATAAAAATCATAAATTTTCAACGGTAATTAGCATATTGTTAGTAAGCAAAACTATGACAGTGTAAATGATTATTTTGGGTTTTCTGGATAGTTCAATTTTCGACCAGAAAAAAAACCAGACTACTCGCATCGTATTTTTGTACAAAAATCCTGATTGGACTGAACCTTAACTGATCGCGAATTTATTTCGTCAATGAAATAAGGATGCACTCAGGCGCGGATCTAGGAATTTCTCGAGGGGGGGGGCGAATTTTCAAAAAAATTTGGAAATTTAGTCGAACTTTTTTTAGGTCGACCAAATGGAATTTCTGAGATCTCCCAAATCACAATAAAGACCCTAATTGGCCAAAATAATGTGCGCCGCAGGCAGTTTTTTGAAAAAAGGCCAAAAAAAGGAGTTTTTAGGCAAATTTTGGAACATTTTGATGAAAAATCGCGTTTTTTTGGCGCGCACTCTCCCCTTAAATTTAGTATAGATTGGCGCTAAAGGCGCCTATAGAAAAATTTTAAGGTCAGTCAGCCAAAATGAATATCTCAAAATATTACAAATGCGGGACCCTTTGAGTCGGCAGGGGGTCGAATCCCTGGGGGGGGGGGGGCGTCCGCCCCCGCCCGCCTGAATCCGCTACTGGATTTTAAGTTTCATATATCAAGAATTGGGGCAGTACAACAGTGCCGAAGTAAAACAGTGCCAAAATTGTAATGTTGTTCAACTGTGCCAAAGATTATTTTAAATACTGTTTTTACTCATCCTAAATTACTGAGATGTAATTCAATTAAATTGGGCGGTAGTTGAAATGACACAATAAAATTGGGAAAAAAGTAAGTTTGTAAAAATCGATAGCAGAAACAACTACGAAAACAACTGGTGCAAAATTACATTGACGTGTATCTATCATTACCCAGCCATGGCAGCAAAAAAAAATTGAGCCATAATTCTTTAAGCGATTATGGCTCAAAAATACGAAACTGCTTTTCAAAAAGCATTTGTTGATGGACTCAGTTAGTTTCATATGCAGTTTTTGTTTTTCGAGCAAGTTTCAGCGTGAAAATTTCTGCAATTTAGTTTTTATCCGGCTGCTTCTTTTTTCAGTTGACTCATAAAAAAAAGAACAGGCGGATTATTGAGCAGCAAGAGATGCGACTCGTTTCGACATGTGACAAACTGGTACAGAAGCTTCATAATCATTTAAATATATATGTTCAAAAAAATTTTTCGAATGATCGATAAAATTGCTGGGTGAGTTTGAGTAAATGAACTATCCCCTCTAAGAAATCTAAGAGTAACTTCGCCATCAGAAAATTGGAGTGAAAAAGTTGAATAACTATGTGAGTATTCTATAATTGAGAGAAAGTAAAAAAAACAAGACCACCAATTGGATCTCCACAGTAGGATCCTTTCGACCGCATGTATAACTGCGAAAGTGAAGAAAACAATATACGCCCCTGATAAACGAGCTGTATTGCTAAATGAAAGAACACTTTTTCTGAAGCGCAAAAAATCATTCGGTCGACCTAAAAGACAAGAGTAATTAACTTGTTGACTTACTGCAAGGTCACATCTTCGAGCGATTATGGCTCAAAAATACTAAACAAATTTTCAAAAAGCATTTTTAAAGCTATGAACATAAATATTCACTGCACGACGACAGTTTTCCAATTGAAAACTTGTAACATTAAACTAAATCAGGGTGATATAAAAAAAAACTTAGATTTTTGCAAAAGACCATTTTTTACTACATGTTAGATTTATTTACATTGCACTAGAAAGAGCACCGGGTCAAAAAAAGTTAAGAGTGGAGTTATAATTGAATTATAGTATATGCGGAGGCAGCACTGATTGAGTTAGCATTCATTTGAAGAACGGCTCCCCGTATCCCTCAGGACTCAAGCCCCCCTCTCAATTCCCCCGCTATGCTCTTATTTCTCACTCGCTCCAATCGGGGTTCCTGTTTTCAGATAAGACGACTGCTCATTTTCATGCTCAATGTTTGCCTATCTGAAAAATAAAAAAAAATGAGACGCGATAAAATTTAAAAGTGACGTTTAAAATTACGAGATACGTTTTGATCAGAAGATTAAAATGTTTTCAAAATTCAATTTTTACAGCAAGAAATCGTTCAATGGTTTTAAAGTTGTTTGACTAGCAAAAAGACAGTTCTTTTAAAGAAGTAAAAATTCGTTTTTGAGCACAAATAATTTGTTTGCCGTAGCGGTTTTGTAGTGATCGGTTATACATTCGTTGGGATGAAAAACATTTTGTTTCTATGAAATCTTACCTGTAGTCATAATAAGATCAAATTATTATGGGTGATATTGTCAATCTGAAAATTCTGGTGGGGCAATAAGCAGGCCGTATATATTATTTTAAGAGCGTTTCTACAACCTCGTTGAAAAATTTTGTTAGGCTTAATTATATAAACAAGACTGCTTGTATATCAGGGCAATGTTCAGACTGCCAAGTAATTGGTAAGGTGAAAATTCATACGACCTCACTTAAAAAAAGCTGAACAAGAAGTTATGGTTAAAGTTTTGTTTCTGATACATCCTTAAAAAGCTCTCTTAATCATCTTATCTCAAAATTCAGCTATTAAACTGCAGTACGAGCTTCATAGAAACTGCCAAAAATGTGAAAGTCAGTCCTTTCATTTCATCGATTACTAAGTAAAAATTCTGTGTCCACGAAAAAACACCATGTGAAAGCATTTTAGGGATTTCCGTGAACTTGCTGGACCGGTCTTCCGGGTTGGTTTTCAAGGAAAGTTTGATAGAAAGAAGGTCTGGACTTCAAAATTTTTAAATGAAATTTGAAAATTTCA